TATATATATATATACAAAGTTCTATGATCCACTTTGCAACTGCAAAAGCCCTCCTCCCCATTAGCAAGACATTTTGAGTTAATTGAAGTAATAGAATACATTGTACAGGAAGACTTTTATCCTTGACTCACAGAGTACTCCATAGTTGCAGAGCTACATACATGCAATTGATTGGATACGAAAGGAGAAATTAGCACACAACACCACTGGACTGTTTTGAAAGGGCCCTCCGGTTATCTCCTCAGTTGCATGATATATTTGTTATAAAATACTTACCTCCTGTTAATCCTTCTTTACCATATCTGTCATAGATTTTTCTTTTCTCCTCTGTTATAAGAACAAGAAAAGACCTGCTTAGGGCAGGGTCTTGAAAAACACTTCCAACTGTTACACTACAAGGGTTAACTGTTTCTTTGGATATCAACCTAAACAGACAATGTGTTGTTCCAGAAAATCTTCATACCCCTCCCATGGAAGGTTTTCTAGTTTGGTTGAACTCCCAACCCCCTGGAAATTCTGGTATAGATGAATTCATACTTTCCTTTGAAACATTTTTGCTTTGGAAATTAATCCCCCTCCCCCTTGAAATGCCGACCTTCCTTGAGGTACAGNCCCCCCCCCCCTTCTCCTTTTGGAATATCGGTCAACCTTCCTTGGAGTGGATTTGGATATTCTCTGGAACTGCACAATCACCAGTCATACCTGGAAAAATAGTTAAACCTATTATAGTAACTGTAACAGTGCACATGCAATCTTCTTTGGAACTTCAAAAATAATTTATCTAGTAATTATTCAGTTAAGGAACAAGGAGGAGAACAGTGAAATGGGAGCTTAATTAACAAGAAAGAACTAAGAACCTGAGCAGCAGAAACGGCAGCAGAGGACAAGGGTGACAGCCTACAGCTCAATTCTCCACTAGGAGAACAGTAATGATGATGATTTAGTAAAAGTGAATAGTAAGCAAGCAAAGAAAAAGCAAGGCTGCTTACACAAGCATATTAACCATTGGGTTACTGATGCATATTCCTTCTGTAGAAACTACACCGTGCCAGTCGCTAGCTACATATTTTCATTTTTGCCTCCTTGATCCAGAATGAAAAAGCAGCATAACACTGGCAGAGGAAGGAAAACTGATCGTACATCGTGAAAAATGCCTAGAGAAAGGTGACTAAGGAACCAAGAAAAAGTTCAAGTTACAAATGAACCATTGAGATAATCCAGGTCAGTGGTCTAAAAGCCCTTATCCACATACTCTACACGCTGTAGGAAATTGAACACAACAAGGTATAGGCACAAACTCCAAAACAAATGTACTATTGAATGAACACACCACATAATATGAAACGTTGAATAAATGGTAAATTATAATGGCTTCAGCAACAAAGAGGCTAAACCCAAAACAAGAACAGCAGCAAGGCTGGCCTAAAATCCTCAACATGGCAAGAAATATTGTAAAAACCTGGAAAATTATGAAATCAAGGTTCAAACATCTGTGTTAGCACGTTCTGGGCCATGATTGGCTAAAATTATCACATCAAGTGAAATCATGGGGTGGACAAAACACATACTAAGGCAAGAGGGGTGAGTTCAGAGTTCAGAATTCAAAAAGTTCCAACACAAGCCAAATAGGAGGGATTACTGACATGACTCTTCAACTTACTGTCTGACAGGACATCATAAGCTTCTGATATCAGTTTAAAGTTTTCTTCAGCTTCCTCTTTGTTGTCTGGATTTTTATCTGGATGCCATTTTAGGGCTAATTTTCGATATCTGTAAACAAAGCAAGCAAACATAATTACTCAGAAGAATCATGTGAATATTAGTCATTTTATCATTTTCCTGCTCTGTTCAAAGTCCAAATGAACTGAATTGTTTCCTAATTAGATTAGCTAAACAAAATTAAAGAAGTAATGAAATCTATGGGAAAGAAATTGCCAATTATGGACAGACTTCGTACAACAAATGCCGCAAAACCTGAGATAATCAGTATATTGGGAATATTTGAGTCCAGGACAGTCCAGTTGTACATGTAAGCCCTGGCTGAGGTCAATGTGTTGTACAATTGTTGTACACGTTAATTTGACAAATTCTTACACCTTTTGTGGGTACTTCTTGAATGTGCTGATAGCTGAAACTTCTTCAAAAACCTATTTTAGTAGCAAATTTCAGTGCAGTATATTACAAAAATAGAAGCAAAGTATGTATTTAGTTAACAAAGCCAATTCTTATTAGTATGGTCTTGTAGAATGTAGAACGTCCTAGACTGTTCTTCAAAGTCTCCGTTTTTGGGGAGGAAAACTTTATTGATAGACAATTTATTAGTACAAATTTAATATCAACCGATGTGTAATTGAACTTACTATCAATCTCTGACATAAGAAAAGAACGAAAGGCACTAATACAGATATTTCTGTCCCAGTGCATGTAAAAATAGGAATACTACTGCATGGACAATAAGAACTGTGTTTAATAAACAAACCACTCCAATGACTGCAATAAATGCAACATTTCCAGCGAAGTTCCCTGCAAAGTGTGCACAGACTCAAAACAACAGCCCACGTACATGTTTCTGCTTTTTCCAAATCAGACTGGATTATTTTAGCTTTACGTAACTCTGCGAAGACCCGCAAAAGATAACGAAAAATCTGTTCTTTTGATTCATTAGCAGGAACGAATGAAATAACACTGCTTCCTTTTAGCTTTGATGACGCGCACAACGAAATCCGATGAATACCTGCATCGGCCAAACAAGAAAATACTTACGCTTTTTTGATGTCTTGCTCGCTTGCACTCTTTGGGACTTCCAAAATCGCATAGTAATCGGACATTTTTTCGTGTAACAGCAAGGAAGAAACTCACAGATACATTCCCAAGTAGAACTTACAGAAGGTAAATGCCGGAAACATTTTCGTAGCCTCGTTGTGGCGTCCGAACTAATTACGAAGATTTTTCGCCTCTATGTCGTCACCTAATCAATGCAAGCTTCGAATGCCCTGCTTCGAATGCTATTTCTTCACGCTGCTTCCAAATTATGATTTGATTCATTGAATAAAGCGAAACGGGTTTTTTTGTTGTTGTTGTTGTTGTTCTATTTCGCTTGATCCTCCAACCAAAGAAATTTCGAATCACTTATGTTGAAATCCTTCCTCTCTCGTCCCCAGAGCAGGAGATCTGGAGCTTAGTTCGGACTTTGAAATAAGGATCCTGCGATCAAAAGGTCAATCCGGCACGAGATGACCAGGGTAAAGGCGCCCCGCAAGTTCATAGTTATGTAGACACTGTATCCGCGAAAACACGTCCAAAAACATCTAATAAGGTATGAGATCCAATTTTGACCCAATCATTCAACAATGTGATTTCAAAAACCAATTTATTCGGCTCCCGTTGATTTTTTTTTTTTTTCTGTTACAAACAACAAAATAAATAATCTTTTTCCACAAGGTGTAACAAAAATTAAAAAATAAAACAGGTAATAAAGAAGGTTTTCTCAAATAAAAATCCTTTACATCTTTACTTTACAATCTTCTCAGCTTAGTTCCGATTAGGAACATTATATTGACACTTATTTTAAAAGACTTTTTCACAGAGATCATCAGCTTGATTCGAATTCCTCGTATCAACCATATGTTTTTCTCATTTTTCATGAGGTTTACTGGAAACAACAAAACCTCTGGCTGGTAGAAAAGGAGATTTTCTGTTGAGAAGTAAAACAGGAGCAACTTCTCAAAGTTGATTTCAAACAGCTCTTTGTTTTGGCATTTTGTTTTTGTCTTGTTTATTTAGTCTTTGATTTTTTTTTTAGAAACGATTTTAAAAAAATAAAATAACGTCCTTAAACGTTGGGACAGAAATCTTTTTTCTCTGGTTGTTTTGTGTTTGTCATTTTATTTAGTTTTTGATATTTTTTAGTAACTATTAAAACAAATGTAACGTCCTTCAATTGTTAGGACGGAAAATAGAAGAAATAACGAATAAACGACTTTTAAACCAGAATTTAGTGGTATCTGTCCATCTTTTAGAATTGCCAGTCCACTTCAATACTGCCATACAAAGTGGCTTATCAGATGAAATGTACGAACTTGTGAACGAAATGAAGAAATTAAAAAAATCAATGGAGTATTAAGTAGTATTTCATACAAGTTCTCGGTCAGTAGAAATGGTTTCATCAATTTATTTTCGGGAAGAGTAGAGATCTTCGTCCAGGTTAATCTCCACCATAACAGGTTCATCTTCACTGGAGCCTGACCCCTCAGCATATCCTTGAGAGAGGCGCCTCTGTTTCTTCATTTTTTCTTTCATGTAATCTTCCTTTTCCACCACCTCTTCGCTCTCGGAGTCCACGATAGCGTTCTCGGGATATCCCTGCGATTCTTTTCGCTGTTTCCGTAAACCTTCCATTAACGTCTGCGCAGACGCGTCTGCGGCTCCTTCTTCCATTCCGAGGACGGGATCTTCAGCCTCTGAGCCATACAGCTCAGAAGCACTGCAATGAAAAAAATGACAGTAAATATCACGTATCAAGTAGTGGAAGAGGGTAAAATTAAACTGAGTATCGCAGCCGTCATTAGGGTCGTCACGCAACGTTCCTAAAAGCGTTGCATGACGTCCCTAATAACGCGTTAGTTGCTGGTAGGTAGCAGCTCCTCAAAAAAGGGGGCAAGAAGGTTGGTCACGCCAGATTATTATCAAAAGGTTTACTTCGTAGTGGAAATCGAGTATTAAGCTACTTCGAATTCCCACGTGGCATAATGAAAACTTAAGAAGTTAACAGTGTTAAACGAGAACAACAATACGAGAAACTCCACAACCACCCTTCCCCACCCCTGCCTTGCTTCGTAAATTTTGGGGGACAGTCCACCGCTACGCCTGCTCTTTGAAGAGCTACGTCACGGCTTCCTCACACTGAAAAGTTTAGTCTAGAGTTTGCAAGTTCGTTGTTTGTAATCCGTGTCAATCTTCTCCATCCTGGATCATCCTTGTTCCTTTATGGTTTACTATTACCTCTTTAGTATTTTTCTATCGTAGTAAACTATTATTTTCACGTTTCCTTTAGTTTAAAAGTAATCATGTTGTTCCAACTATCTTATCCCCGTTACTTCAATCACAGAAGCCGACATTAACTTGTTATGCTTATTCACCTGATCCATTTGTGCCTGAAGTGTTCTATGATCAAGCAAACCCCAGCCAGAGAGAGCATACCGATTATAGTGATGGCGATCGCACCCGTCACCTTTAATGGAGAAAAATAACGAGTTCTTCCATGATGCAAATGTATGTGATGTCCGACCAGTTGGTGATGGTGGTGTCCGTGACCTAAGAAAGACCCAACACATGGATAAAGCTTCAGTTATATGTATATATATTTCAGTCAAACCAAGTGAAACGTACTCCTCAAGATTACATTAATGAATTGATTATTTGAATATTGAACCCGCTAATCGTTTCAAGAATGCAATAATGAATTGATTACTTCAATATTGAACTCACTAGTCATTTCAAAAATCAATATTAAATTGATTTTTTTTTAACATTAAACCCATTAGCCGTATTCTTGGAACGACTGGTGGGTTTAATTTTCCAATAATCAATTCATTAATGTACGTAATCTTGAGGGGTACGCTTCACTTGGTTTGACTGTAACAAAATCCTGATAAATTTTCCGGGGGGCCTCCCACGTAAAAAGGACGATGGTACTCGTCGTGCCTTTAGGGGTTCAAAAAGCAGTTTTGGTACCTCTCAGGGTGTTTAGCCTCAAAAGGTTCATAGCGGGAGCTTTTGCGGTAACTTTTAAGGTGCTGAACCGAAAAAAAATATGACTGGAGATAATGTTTTGTTTTAGAATGGGTACCTCTTAACTGTGAAGAATTTCAAGCCACGCCCAGAAAACAAGATCTTGGTGCCTATTAGGGGTTCTTTTCAAAATTTCTGACGAGCAGCCCCGTACTTTTTATATGGAAGTCCCTCGGGGACAAATAAATTTTCTCCTCCTGTTGACATTAGGGTTTCAAGTTACCGTGCGGTTCCTTGGGCATTAGAGGCATCATTCGTTGACATTTGATCTTGTGCCCATCAAATGACTTGAGTCTCAAAGTTTCCTTCAACACATGTTTTAATGTGTAGGTAGTGGCTTGGTCACAGTCCAAAGGGTTATGACTGATAAACCTGACGACAAACAAAGTCAACATATGAGCATTAAGACATGGCTGGATTTTTTTCCTCTACGAAAAGATTGCCAAGATTCCATTGAATCTCAGGTCAGTCACGGTATTTTGAGTTATTTGGCCACATACTAAACTATTTTATCATTGGGGGAAACCTGAAAATAGAAGTTTACCAAGATGAAAAAACATCAACGAGATAATAATAAACCATAAAGGAACAAGGATGGCTCAGGATGCAGAAGATTAACACGGATTACAATCAACGAACCTGAAAATTGTGAACCTAACTTTTAAAGATGCGCGAACCGTGACGCATTGTTTTGTGGAAAGAGAGGAGGAAGAATAAGAGCTCGAGTTAATCCGCCATATATGCCTTTTGCCCAAAGTAATCTTTCTCAAGTTATTCTTAGTCCTAGTACCCAGTTCTTCCGCGGATAATGTCACCGCGCTGTTGCGAGGATGTTTCGATGAGGATGAAAATGCGTGTTAAGACCTGTCCACTCGAGCAACATCCACCTCACAAGGTTATCTATTTCTATATCATCCAGAAAAGAGGAATTAACTTGGGAATACGGCCTGTAAGGCCTCTTTTTTGTGGCCAATCAGGGCTAACAAAAACCATTCTGCGATTGGCACTCTCTCTTTCTCTCCGTTTTTTCTTTCTGTTTTTCATTTGAGTTATCCGCTGCATGATTACGTTGCTTTAACAGCTGTCTTTGAAAATCGTATTCAGTTTTTCAGCAACTCTAAAGATGTCTTGTTCACTTACAAGTTTTCCAGATTGGTGTAAGCCTTCACGTCTTTCTCGTGAATATGCTTGATATTTCCATAAGTCACATCCCTAAAAAAAAATGCAACACATGGTTTATTACGATGTATAATAAGAACTGGGTGGGGAAACGGGGGTGGGGAGTCCGACCTAATACCCCCAAGGGGTTATGGCTAACAGTTAAGTGAAAGTAAAGGGCGCTGGGGATCTGAACTTCCCTTCTTTCGAACCTCTTTTTTCCGGGTTACTGCCCCTTCCCCCCAACCTTATTTCCCAGAACAGAATAGATAACGAGTAGTGTAGTCATTAAGAGAATGACGTTCGTGATAGAAAGCTAGCAGATTTATGCTTATACAAGTATTGCGCAATGTTACGTACTTTTGCCCTCTTCCTCCAGGCTTACGCAATCATGGGAACTTCGCTTTCCGCCTTCCCTTATGTGTCCCGCGTCCTTTTACAGTTCTCTCGTGTTCTCGTCCGCCTGCCGCCGTCAACTCCCCGGCCCCCTGTATCGCCCCGCCCCGAAAGCTCCCACACGAAGTTCACAATGCAAACTTGCAAACAAAACGATGTCTCAAAGTTGCTTATCTTTTTTAACCGCGTAATAAGTGACAGCAGCATAAAAACCAATCTCAAACTCCGCTGTCCATCATTGGACAATAACCTGTTTCCACAACTTGCTGAAGACTTTGAAACCATTTGAATGCGAAAATACGTGAAGATTTCCAATGATTACTTACAAAGTTTTGACTTTTGATGAAAAGCCAAACACGGGAAATTTGTCCATTCCCCGACATCTCACCACGGAGAGGTCATCACTGCAATCGCACTGCAATGGACATTCATCCTTCGCTTGAGCGAAAGACAATAAAACAATCAGAGAAAGCGCAACGCTTAGTTTTCTCAAAATCATCTCGAAGCAGTCCGAACACGCGCCTTAACAGCAAACGAAGTTCAACTGAGTAAGGTCGAGTGAAAATTGACGCTTTGTGACGTCACAGTTGATAAAGTAATTATCAGATTACTCGCGCGCGCGNACATAATATGAAACGTAGAATAAATGGTAAATTATAATGGCTTCAGCAACAAAGAGGCTAAACCCAAAACAAGAACAGCAGCAAGGCTGGCCTAAAATCCTCAACATGGCAAGAAATATTGTAAAAACC